GGGCGACAAGCAATCGTGGCTCCTTCGTGGTCCTTGCGTTCTTGGAGGCTGAACGCGCCCCCAAAAACGTGACCGACGTGGTGAAGAAGGCACTCGAGCCTGCGATGAGAGAGCTGAAGAAGCTTGCTGACACGCAGAAGGGTACCGAATTACTTCTTGAAAAACTAGGATAGGGAGGAGGTGTAGTGATCGAACAGCTTTGTTTGGCCACGTCATAATAATATCAGACGCTTTTGTTTGTTGCTCGTACATCGCTTCGGTCGTCGGATGCATGAAGTCTCGGTCCTATTGACCACCACCGACGTGTGTCATGCCGACTTTTTCGAGTTTCAATACCTTCGACTGGGAGTGGGGAACGGCTGAGAGGTTGCAAAGTGTTTCACCGAGCTGTAATGATAGTGTGAAGGTTTTTCCGTGCAAGTGCCATTTGCGAAGATATCATGACAGGCTCACTCCCATTCACCTTATCGATGAGCTCAGCGTCACACTGCAGTGCACATTTATCAGAAGGTCAGCACCACCGCGGACATTATGTGCTGTATAGCTGTTATGGCCTAAGCCGGCAATGCCACCCAATTGTCGCGGTTGTGCAAAAGGACACGTGTACATGGATCATAGCGTCTCGTAAGTGCATCGTGCAAGGCGAACACACTTGTAGGCCGGACTGGCAAGGGGTAGTCCTCCAGAGGCACACAACCTTAATGACGTAAGGCCAAGTACTTATTGACCACATGGTCGACCAAACAGGTATAATTCAGTAAACTACGAAAGCTTGACTACTGGATGCCACCGCATTTCATGCTTGCCAATCAAAGCACCTAGCTCAACAAGCCTTTCCGCTGCAACCTTGCTTTCAGTACTGCTTTCGAGTGATGCTCTACCAGCCGTGGACATCTAACACGACGTTACACTTAGCAAGATGATGACAATCCTCAAGTTGCTAGCGACTTGCCCCGTGTGGCGAGTGCAGTCTCCAGATGCATCATAAACACTGCTGGGTGCTGTGTGTAAGTCTCTGCACTGATTCTTGCGATTAAACACGTTGCATCGACATCGACCCTATTGCCACTGTCTGAGATACCGCATTATCGGCGCAAGCAGGGATCACCGTTATTACCCGTCACGTTCCACCTAACAATCTGCATGCCGCCACCTAGTAGGCACCGACTAGTTCCACCCCAAAATCAACACGGAGCAACTCGATGCGCTAATCCGGGTAACGATGACCAAGGAAGCACAACCTCACATGGTAAGATCGCAGCAGCATTGCACTTATTAATTCGCAACTAGTATTCCAGCCGTGGAGAGTGTGCATGGAGCTGGTTTTTGCAGCGAATTCATCGGCTCTGTCTCCCAAAGGCGCATACCTTCTCGATCGTTGCACAACCTTCGAACGTACTTGTTGACGTGCAGTCCACTTCGCTCAGAATGACCGTTGCAATCACGTCCTTTGGGGGCAAAAGCTCGAACGCCTGCACGATTTTGCTGTGCTGTTGGCCGAGCCAAAGAGGGCAAAGAGACTGCGGGAATCTCCACTTTCGGTTCGTTATTCGTGTCACATTTGGTGTTTCGGCTGTCGTGCGAGCTGATTACTGTCGTCACATTGTGGAAGTGACGGTCCAGTCCTGCGTAACTATTTGGCCAATTACGTTGCTCATTTTGGATCCCACGACGTACGAAATGCATTCACTTGCCGGACCCTACTCTCGCCAAGATTCTCATCAGACGACTGCCCACACACCGTGATACCAACGCTCGTGATCGAATCTAATAAAAAAGAAAGACTGTAAGGATTCACTATGCTCCAAAGTCTCACTTTCGATTTCGCACTCTCGAGCGCAGCCACCGAGCCCTCGATGGATGTCAAATGCCTTCTCAGCAGCGAGACAGCAGCACTCGCATGTCCGGCCTCGTCTACGACGTCCGTCCTCAGTGCGTCCAGCATGAGCTCGAACGAGGTGAAGCGCGGCTGGGTGGCCCCGTTTCTGTTGCACTTGCATCAGATGCTACGACGTGAGGATTCCACGATCGTTCGCTGGGCTGAGAATGGCATGGCGTTCCAGATCTTGGACAAGGACGCCATGACGTCTTTGGTGCTGCCAAAGTACTTTAAGAACAAGAACTTTTCCAGTTTCCAGCGCCAGCTCAACTACTTTGGCTTCCGCAAGTGGAGCAAAGCTCGGGCACCGTTCCCCACCTACAGTCGCGAGCACTTTACACGGGACAATTACAATCAGATGTCACTGGTCAAGCGCCAGAGCAAAAAGTCTCACAAGCGCAGAGTCGCTTCCAATCCCAAACCACCTGCAACCAGCGGAGCCGTACTTCCGTCAACTAAAGGGATTGCCAGCGCCAAGGGGAGCCAGCCCATTCTATCGCACCTGGGTGTCGATCCCGAGACAGTCATCATACCAGTGCCCCAGCTTCAGTCTTGGGTCATGTCTCCTACGATCGCACCTGCATTCCTCTTCCCCGTGCTCTCCCCTACTCGCAAGATGAACAGCAGCTCCAAACTGCCATCCATCCGTGAGCTGTCACTGTCGAGTGCCATGTCGCACGCAGGTATCGGCCAAATCCGTCCTCGCCTTTTGGCTTGAGCAGCCTTGTCGCAATATTGTCGTCGTCGTCGTCCAGAACTACATCAACACTGTATCCAAGTCACCTTCAATAGCTTTATTTACCAATCTCCTCACACTTTCATGCCTTCGCTCCCTCCCTCGACCGCTCTCTACCAGACGTCAAGCCATCTGTTTGACTAACAACTGAATCGAGTAAGGTCCATTCTGCAGATTTCGACCAGCCGGTCGTCTGACCGTTCAAGATCGCGATCTTTTGCGGCACCTCTTCCCCCCACCGCAGATACGCCCTCCATTCCCCTCATTTATCCTTCCGCCCGATCGCACTCACATTACCAGCTCCAGCCATGTCGAGTCTGCGGCTACTGGTTCTGCTCGTGACTGGCGTGCTCTCGCCCGTACAAGCTTGCACGATGATCGCTGTAGGGCGCAATGCAACAGCGGACGGCTCGACGCTAGTGGCCCATACGGACGATGCAGGCTTCGGTGCTGCCGACCTCCGGATGGTGCGTGTCCCTGCCCAGGACTTTGAAGAAGCAGCCGTTCGACATGTGTACAACTTCCAGCCAGGTTACCCGCGTCTCGTGACGACTGAGAGAGGACCGGAGTACGCGCCAAAGAACGAGCACGAGCAGCTCATGACGCCGCTGGGTCAGATCCCTCAGGTGTCGCACACGTACGGCTACTTTGACCAGGACTATGGGTTCATGAACGAGGTGCAGCTCAGTATCGGGGAGAGTACCAGTGGCGCCAAGACGGCAGGCTGGCCAATGGACGCAGGTCCACATGGGTACAACATGTTTGGAATCGGAGAGCTCACGAAAGTAGCACTCGAGCGGTGCGACTCGGCTCGATGTGCTATTAAGACTATGGGTGACTTGGCGGTCAAGTACGGCTTCTACAGTGAAGACAGCGGCGACCCAGCGAATCCGAAATACGTGAGTGCAGCAGAGACGCTTGGGCTGGCGGATCGGTATGGAGAAGTGTGGGTCTTCCACGTGCTCACGGGTCCGCAGAACGCGAGTGCTGTGTGGGCGGCACAGCGCGTGCTTGATACGCATGTGGTCGTTGTGGCGAATGGCTTTGTGATTCGTGAGATGGATCTCGATGATCCAGAGCACTTCTTGGCGTCCGACAATGTGCACTCTTTTGCAACAGAAATGGGATGGTGGAAGCCAGAGGAAGGCGAGTTTGATTTCACCGCTGTGTACGGTGCTTCAACGCCAAACCCAGTGCGCGCGTTGTATATGGGGCGCCGCATGTGGCGCGTGTTTGATCTCGTTGCGCCGTCCTTGCAGCTTGATCCTCGCCTCGGGCATTACCCAGAGTACCCGACGTACCCGTTTTCAGTCAAACCGGATCGACGCCTTGATGTCGCAGACGTGACAGGCTTACTGCGCGACTACTTTCAAGACACGCCGTACGACCTGTCCAAGGGTCTTGCTGCAGGACCGTTTGGAATGCCCATGCGTTGGGATGGCAACAGAAAAGGGGTCGTCGGTGGATGGGAACGACCCATTTCCATGTACAGCACCGTCTACAGTTTCGTGCTGCAAGCGCGTGCTCACCTACCTGATGCGATTGGTGGCGTCGCTTGGTACGGCCAGAGCTCCCCACATGCTTCGGTCTATGTTCCATTTTCATGTGCCCAGCGAGAGGTGCCTTCTGCGTACGTCATTAGGAAGGAAAGCGAGTTTACCCCTGGTTCTGCATGGTGGGCCTTCAGCTTTGTGAACAATTGGAGCATGGTTCGGTTTGACGTGATCAGCGAGGACATCCGAGCTCACATCGCTGACCTGCAAAACTGGTGCTTTACTGAGCGAAAGGCGATGGAACATCACGTCACTACTCATGCCGATTCTTTGACGGTATCTGAAGTGCGCATGTACTTGCAGGAGCGATCGAATCGATTGGCTTCCAACGTCGTGGACAAATGGTGGGCTTTTGCGTGGAAGCTTGTCGGCAAATTCACCGACGGCTACATCACCACTGGTGAAGCACCAGGGGAAATGGAGGTGCCCGGGTATCCAGCATGGTGGCTCAAGCTTACCGTCTTCTCCAAATTGCCAGGTGATACGCTCGAGCTACCACGTGTCCAGGCGCTAAAGAAACAGCGCGAGCTGTTTGACAGTCGCCAGAATGCGAGTGTCAGCGCCGTGTTGCAACAACCTGCAGAAGCACCTTCAAGTACCGTCTCGATTACTCAGATTGCTATTGGCGCCGTGGTTGGAACATTCGTGGGTGCATTTGCTACTTGGTTTGTGGTCGTGCGCCAGGGTCGATCTGCATATCGACCCATCGATTAGCAGAGCGAGTTCGGTGCAGGAGATACTCGCATGTATCATCAGAAAGCTGCGACCCGAATACCCAGTGAGAGGTGTAGATAGATTAGGAGCGAGGCTCGTTACTAATCGAATGGCTCTACTATCGCTGGTACGATTCCTTGTAGTCTCGCTTGGCCGTCAGGCTACTGGAACGTTTACGTCGATGGATTGATCCGTCCCGGCTGCCTGGAGAAGTGCTGCGACTGTTGCGTCTACCCTGCTCGCCACGGGTGGCATCACCACTGTAGGCTTTTCGTGAGCGTCCGTTATCTTCATGGCTGTTCTGCTTCTTTTGGGTGAGGAGCGATCGATCGCTTCCCTTCTCTTCGCTACCGTGCTTCTCTCTAGTGATCTTCTGTTGTCCTCTTCCTGTGCCTTTAGGCTTGAATGTTCCTGCTCCAGCCGCATTAGAGGCAGCGACAAGACCTGGAGTATCCATTAACCCCATCGCCCGCAATGTTTTCTTCTGGAGCTTTGGCACCTCCTCTAGCCCAATGAGCCGGCTGTACCGTGCACCCGTCTCGACCAGGTCCGTTTTCGACATGCGGAGCTTCTTGAGATTTGAGTTGTAGAACCCCAGGAAAGCTGCATAAGCCTTCTCTGCCGACTTTCCCAACTCACTGCGGGGATGAACATTGGCAAGAGCACTTGCGGTTCGGAAGGTCTGCATATCAAGTTGAGACTCCTGTCCAAGTTCGGAAAGCGGCAGGTCAGCCAGCTCGCGAAGCATCGACTTTTCAAAGTCGGCGAGCACTAGAATGCCACGCCCTTCCATCCCCGCACGAGCGGTTCGTCCAAGACGGTGAATATACTGGTCACGATCTGTAAGACCGACTTGCAGAACCAGCGAAACGTCCGGGTAGTCAACACCCCGCGCCGACACATCCGATGAAAACATGACCACTTTCTGGCCCTTACGAAAGGCATCCGCAGCCTTCGTGCGTGCAGATTGACTCTTGCGCGAATGCATCTCCAGCACATTTGGAAACCCCGCAGCCTGAAAAAGATGTGCCATAAACTGAGCCGCTCGTGCAGTAGGCAGAAAGACAATGACCTTGTACGCCGGCAGCTTCATGTGTTCGTCTAGTATGCGCTCAACCATAGGAATGACGTCTTGAAGGTCACACACGACATACTCCTGCACAGTCTGCGTATTGGTCTGCTGATCGTCTCCTTCAATCGTGTTCACGAATGTAAAGTCATCACGTAACGCCACATTCTTGAGCTCCTCGGTTGCAGTCGGCAACGTCGCGCTGAAGAGGAGCGTCTGTCTTTCCTTCGGTAAACGGCTGATGATCCGCATGATGTCGGGACGAAAACCCATATCCAGGAGACGGTCAGCTTCGTCCAGTACCAGCACTTGCAAGTTATCCAGCTTCTGTCTGATGTGTGCACTGTCCTCTTCCAGATGCGCTTGCAGCCGTCCAGGAGTGGATACTAGCACATCAATGCCTCCAGAGTGCATGAGCTCCTTCACGTCCTTATTCACAGAGCTTCCGCCCACAAAGCAAGCCGTGCGTAGTGAATGGGCACTCGTGAGCTTCACCGCTTCAACTGCGATCTGTTGCGCCAGTTCTCGAGTCGGGGAGATCACTAGCGCCAAGATCTGGCCACGCTTCGGTCGTGGATTCTGGATCATGCGCTCCAAAGTTGGCAGCAAGAAAGCGATCGTTTTGCCATTCCCGGTCTTGCCCTTGGCCAGCACATCGCGACCTTCCAGTGCCAGTGGCAGCGTGTCCTTCTGCACATGAGTCAGGAACTTGTAGCCCATGTCGCGCGTCAGCACATCTTTGGACTGTTGGCTGATGGACAGAGAGGCGACCGAAACGTCCGACAAGTAGCCGCTCGATGCACCCAGGAAGACGCTCGAATGGAAGCGGCGCACACGTAGAGATTGATGGCGGCAAACCGCCCACATTGCTACTGATGGAGTAAATGGCTGGCCAGGAGTGCGGTCCTAAAATATCCTTGTTTTGGGTCCAGGCCTGGCAATGGACCGTCTGTCCGATCCAGAATAAGCTGGTCGTACCTAAAAATGACACCTTCCATCCCCTGTCAACGCACACAATGTCTTAAGAACGACATCTCGTAGTTTCATTAAAAGCCAGTGCTCACTCAATCGGGCCTCTGTTCTCACCAATGTAGCTCACGACGATAGTTTTGAATAGCTTACAGACAACGTTGGTGACAGTAACGACGACACTGCGTGAGAAGCATTCGCTAGTCCTGCATTTGCATAAATTGTAGAGTAGTCGCTCGTCTACGATCGATGACTGGTTCGCTAAACCGCAGTAGCAGTCATTTGCTGCTTCGTGTATTCTGAAGGTGGTTGGTGTCGATCTACCTTTATCTTACGCGAAGAAGCGAAAGCAACGACGAAGCGTTTGGTCACAAAATTATGCCAGGACGATGTCGGATTTTATAAAGGCGAGTTCGAGCGAGCACGTCGGTTCGTCGCAAGTGTTGCCAATATGGACAGTCCATGCGAATTAAGAAAATGCGCGAGTGCAAGTCATCTAAATCTAAATGAGAAAGTGGTTGAATGGACCTTGACGAGGGTTGGAGCATTTCGACGAGAACTACTCGGCCAATCGAACTTTTGTAATAGATTCGGATACCCACACGTGTTATTTGGCGTGGCAGGTGGCGTGTAATAGAAGTATTGGTCGGCGAGGGACGAGTGAGTGTAATCTGAGAAAAAAAATGACACCATAAATGTCCTGCCAACTCTTTACTAAATAATTGTAAAAGTTCTAGAAATATTTATAATCCGACAGTAGCAACTTCATGAACGATCTATCAAAATGACAATTTGTACAAATTTTAGAAGCAATCGACTAAATTAATTTTTGAGCTGAAATATTATTGGTGTAACACTTATTCCAATCGTCTTTTAGACGTTAGGTTTAATTTTAAGATGTTAAAAAGTTTAGGTACCGCGATCCTTATTATGTATAATCAAGCAGATTAAGTTAAAATACATTTTAAACGTATTTGATAACCAATGGGATTATTCAGTGAAACAGATATAATTCCAGAATTTGTTATATATCCCTCATCTTTTGTCATCCAGTTCATCACTCTCAATTAGAGCCTCTGATTGGTGAGAAGGCAAATCGAAACTTCAAACGTACAACTTTTTTAGAACAATCGCCTTACACTTCCTTTTTAACCACTTTTTTTCTTATAAACTATAATGAACAGTCTTGCGCCGCTCAGCAATTCGGTAGCTGGAGGGCTATGTTGACTTCCAAGGGACTTCAAGATGCACTGTCGACAGTAAAACTACCTGCGAAGATAAATCTACTGTTGATGGTGCTGTTTGATGATAGTTGCGGGCAAATGGAATGTTGCTTGGAACATCTGACATCTTTGGAGCCGCACTGGAGCATCCAAAGTAGTAGTTTCATGCTAAAATTGTGATGAGAGTCGCTTCGTTGGCCGTTTACGCGTGACTCGCACAGTATCACAAATATTGTCCCCTGGGATACAAAACTGCGATTCGTTAGCATGCGCTAGCAATGGTTTGTAGCATCGAGCATGCGCTAGCGAAGATTTGTAGCGTCAAAATACTCATTTATGATCCTCTCCAATGCTGTCTGGATTGCAACTGGGGTGTTCTTAATCTTGACATCCACTAGCGTTGACTGAACTATCCACCAATGTTAATCGAATCATTGACTGACAGTGGTACAGCTCGATAACAAAAGCATGGGCACAAGGACAGCCATCATTGATGTCAATAAGCTAAGCATTAAGAGTGGATATTCTGTTGTGGTTATTTTTTACAAAATGGTCGAAGTCTACACACCTTGACAAATGCCATCAATTTTAAACCGCTGCCGATGCGCAGCACGCATACCTGCTATCGAAATCTTCTCCATTACCATTGATAACATCAAGCCAAGCTGCATTAATAATATGGCGCGATGCTTTGCATTTTGCTGCAGAACAACAGTAAGTTGATCTCGCAAGCAAGACGAATTGATCAATTCACCGACAGGTAGATCCTTGCAGCAAATACATGGTCAAACAGACACGAGAGAAAATGATTCACTGTACAAGTTACCTGTTAACAATGAAAACAATTACTTGTAAGTAGCAAGCGCGCTCTCGACAAGAGACGCTGTAATGCGGCCATGTCGGCGCTTGTCACGAAGAAAAGCTGAGACAAACATATCCTTTTGAACAATCCAAGTCATCTCAATGTAGTGCATTAGACACTGCAGAAAAGGTGGTATGCATTGAAGCCAGATGCATTGCAAAAATTATTGCTGTGGTAACAATCAGTCCGCTCCAAGCTTTGTAGAACTCTTGCCAGGCCTCTGCTGTTTCTAAAGTTGTCCACGGCTTTGCTAAAAATAAGTTTGCTGACATGCCAGTGGCATAGCAACAAACGCGCGTCCGGAAACATCTTTGCGATTGCGTTCATCAGAGCAAGCTCTCTAGTAGTGACAAAGACGAGTGCTTAGCTTAGTCCATATGCTAGAAGGCCTCTAAAATACGACACATAGCCGACTGGTAATTAGCCAAAGTCTCGTTTCGCACTAAACAGCATGCAATGGTGAAGGTACAGATAGTTGCTATTGGACCAACAATTTAGAGGAAAAGGAGTCCATATCTGTTAATCTTGTGGGTTGCGTCGATTAGCTACACACTACCAGCACTGTACTATTTTTCAAATCGCCTTCACTGATGAAGAGATGACCGATAGATGAGTAAGTTGCTATTGCTGGTTAGCCTGAGATAAGTAGCCGCTGGCTGCGAATTAGTCCAAGATAAATGATAGCGGAGAGCAGCTTGCCAGTATACTTGTGCAATTTGTGTGACGCAGTTTGCAACTGTATTGAGCAAAATGTTGGATATAGCGATATCACTCTCTAGTTAATGCAGTAAAATGGTTCTTTCGTTAATGTTTTGTTTAGTCTTTTCTACTTCTTACTCGCCACCATTTCTGTTTATTCGAGCCGCAAATCCCGCATATTGTTTCACACAATGTATGCACAAGGCAATCACAGAGTCAGTGGCCGCCATTCCCGCCGTCGTGCCGCGTACTCTTGCGCTATCGCACTAAGCGCGGCACTCTCGCTTTCAACACTAGGCCAACGCATTATTGCTCTACCGTACAAAGGGCACAATGGGCACGGGTGACTTCTTGTCGAACTTCCCGTGTCAAAGCGCGCCCGTGCAGATGAGAAGAAAGGTGGTTAAAAAACCGTGGTTGTGTTTTCTTTGGCAACTGTTACCAGCAAATTTCTGGTTTTCCTCGGTGTATACGGGTTGTAGACAGACAGCTGCTACGGATGGACGACACATGCTGCCGGGACCCGGCATGAATGCGTATGACAGGGGGTTGACTGCGAGTAGACAAGAATTGCATCTGAACATCACAATGTTACTTACTGCCAATCCTTATGGTGCGTTAGACAACAGCAATGTAGCCTTCCAGTTGCGCATGTGCGTCAATCCTAGCTCCTGCCTCTTGTAAAGAAGGGTGCGCAATCTGATGAGGGATAAAAGGCTTTTCATTGTGGCTCAATGAAATAAAAGGTGGTCGAACTGGAAGTGCAAGCAATTGTTCTTATTGCGTTGGATCATTGAGTTTTATTGGCCTTCGGGTCAATTTAAGGCACAAAATCTAGGGATAGGGGGGGCTTCATATACATGTGGGAAATGGATAATAAATGCCATAATCCTACCTTTTTAGTAGAGACCATTAACTCCGACCATGCTTTCATGAGGGTAATAACACACCACTCATGCGTATTACCTTTTTAATTAACTTCTAAGCTTTCTGATGGCCAGACGAAAAGTCACCGTCATCAAAACACCTATCCCAATTTCCTAATAATTAAAAATCACATCAGAGTATCCTAACACACGCTTTTAAGAGTGTTCGTGGAAAAATTCGAACAACATTTATTTATTTATGCCCATTGCAGATCTTGCCATGATTTTGGTTAACGTTTTCAACCCATGTATCATTCTAGCACGCTCAACTTTTTAATGGAGCGACACCATCAAGAAAGTGGCTGTCGAAGATAAAGTGCCATACTAAAACATACAAATCCGCCCAACCCTCGTGTTGACGAACTGGTTTGAGTTCCAAATTGCAATAGTAGTTAGGAGACTAGTGAGAATTGTACATATGCACGTGATACATAAGATATCGCACATTAACTCCATTTTGTACACGAACGAGTCTCCATCACTTTTTAAAGACGAGAAGAAGTATGCCACGAGGTTGAGAAAACTGGACGGATTTATGGTCTGCGTGAATATTCTATTGTCTAATGTCCACTTTATACTGGTAACTACGTACGCCATTTCTATTTGATTGTAATACTTCATGTGTTGAGCAATGCAAACATGGGAATCCAAACTCGACCACATTTTCATTAATGCTGATGAAAACGGAAGCAGATGCATCAACATTCCACCTACACGGACGTGCAGAGTGAGATGTTTTCTATTAGTCGGGGACTAGTTAATTGGAACAAGCACAACTTTATTTAGTGCAATCGAAGTCTGTGATTAACTTTTGTCTGTTCACCTCACTTCAATTATAGCTACAGTTTTATGAAAATTAGCTTATTTACGTCATTAAATCGAACATAACTTACTTGGCTTTGTACCTTGGTCATTGCATGACGCAACAATAATCGAATCAAATTTATAAAAAAGATATTTGACTGCGTTTGCATGGCAGAACTTATTATCTTTCAGTTTTGGATTGCCAGACTCGAGAGAGAAACGAGTATCTACTTTACAAGGATTGTTTAATCTTTTCACGAAGTCCAAATACGTACTTTAAACTGGTTAACATAAAGCTCTTCAGTCAGCTGTGTGTATCCTCTCCATGGCACTTTTCCATAAGGAATAAGACCGGTTTGTAAAAGTGATTCTTATACCTAAGAT